AAATCACTTAATATTTTCTATTGTTTCCTCACAATGTCTTTGTGACTGCTAGGGACATTTTAATTTTTATTCATTAAATGTTTTTTGGTGTTCTTCTCTGGGTGAAACAAAATGATGAAACACTTTGGAGCAAATATACACAGTATCAGTCCAAAACTGGAGGCCAGAATAGCAAATATCTCCACAGCCACAGTAAATTTTCCAGGAGAGCTGACATAAGCTGGGATGAAGGTGATCCAGACGGCGCAGAATATCAACATGCTGAAGGTTATCATCTTGGCTTCGTTGAAATTATCAGGTAGTTTCCGAGCTAGAACAGCTAACACAAAGCAAAACACAGCCAGCAGGCCGATGTAGCCGAGCACAGCCCAGAAACCAACAGCAGAGCCTAACGCACATTCCAGGATGATCTTCTCCTTGTAGGTGCTCAGATTTTTCACTGGGAAGGGAGGACTCACAACCAACCATATGATACATATTATAACCTGAATAAAGGTAAAAGATACTACAGTCATTCTTTGCTGTACAGGACCAAACCATTTCATAACATTGTTACCAGGAAGTGTAGCTTTAAAGGCCATTAGAACCACTATAGTTTTGCCAAGAACACAGGAGATACAGAGAACAAATGTGATGCCAAACGCTGTGTGCCGCAGCATGCAGGACCACTCAGAGGGGGCTCCAATGAAAGTTAGTGAACATAAGAAACACAGAGTCAGAGAGAAGAGCAGCAGGAAGCTCAGCTCAGAGTTGTTGGCTCTGACAATTGGAGTTGTTCTGTGATGGAAGAAAAGCATCCCTGTAATTATGGCCAGAAAGGCTCCACCAACAGAAAATACAGCCAGGATGATTGACAGGACTTCATTGAAGGAAAGAAACTCCACAGGTTTGGGAAAACAGGCATCTCTCTTTGCATTTGACCAGAACTCTCCTGGACATGGAATGCAATCAGGAGAATCTGAAAATAAAGTTATAAATGGTTGTTACTCCTTTACTGTTTGATGATGCAGGTTTGCAGGAAAACATTACAATCACCTGTCATATTACTGATCTCTCCTTCAGGACATGGTATGCAGTCATAGCAGCAGATTGGTTTTCCTTTCTGCAACACTTTACGAGTTCCTGGAGGACAACTCTCTGAGCAAACGGAGACTGGAACCTGAAACAAAACAAAACAAAAAATAGTTAAACATATGATTTTCAAGAAGATGAGCAATGTTGCACTCTTTTCATTACTTGCATGTCTCCATCCAACCAGGTTAGATTCTTGTAAATGCGAAACTCCTGGCCTTT